CCAATTCAGCAGCCACATGCAGCCAAAGAAACAGCGGGAGCTTGGGCTGCTTTCTCTGGTGCTGGCTCGGGAACTTCAGGAACCTGACAACACATGGTGAACCACAAAACAATATTGTACATATTTGTAAGAAGTACTTTTGGCAGGAAAATGATTCTCTACAAACTTCAGTGGTCCATCTCTGGTTTCCCCTGACCCTGTCTCAAAATACCTATAGAAAAAAACATATGTAGTACAAGTAGCTGCACGTCATTTCACGTCCAACCCCGGTCCAACCACCACCCCTCGCATGCCAATTCAACAGCCAATGTGTCCACTCCCAATTCCTCAAGTGTTAGGAGTCCCGGCATGGCCATCAGTGGTTTTCGGGAGACCATCTTCTCCAATCACTGGCTCTGGTACCTCATTGGCAGAGCAGTTCCAATCACTGTACCTCTTCATACCTGTTCTAAAACACGAGCGCCCCACAGCACAGTACTAGAAAATCACAACCCTGACACATGGCATCAGCGCAGTACCTGAAAATGTCTACAAAATTGCCGGACACGTCTGTGGCTAAGGTGATATATATATATATATATAAATATCAATAATGTTACATCTATAATCATATATATAAATACAATTAAATACATATATATACAGCAAATATATAGTTGAATACTTTTGATATCTTTTGATTTATAAGATTGTATAAGTATAAGTGTCACATAGTGTCACTATGGATTATGCTTCAAGCAGCAGCCACACAACGCTACTTTTTCCGGATGACACCATCGTACTTGATCCAATTCCATTGGGATTGGCATTTTCCCTTGGTTTGTCCCAACTTCCAAGGCATCACCCGAGGCAAGTGGAACAAGGTCTGTAGCTGGAAACTCTGCGATTTCTCAAGTGCCGGCAGCCTGATAGATGATAGCATGTCCCATAGCTACTAGCAACGTGGAAGTCAGGCATCCCTTCAAACCTGCGAAGTGTTGATGACGGTGCCGATGACGGTCCCGGTGACTGCACCAATGTCTGACTTTCAAAGGTCTCTGTCTGGGTACCTGTCGTCGTCATCTGGTTGGCAGGCTTCTTGAAGATCCAAGCAACAATCTCTCTGAAGGCTAGAGTCAGCCCAGCCACAAGGATCAAGAAGCACTCTAGAAAACCCATGGCTTCCAAAACCCCTGATGGAACAGTAGCAAGCTTGTCTGTACTTCTTCTGTCATGGCGGTAGATGGCGGTAGTAAAAGCTAATGTACGCTGATGACATGGTGAAGTATGAACTGTGGTGTCATGCCAGGCCAGGTCTGAGAGTACAAGAATGATCAAAGATGTACAAAATCACATTCATTCAAAACATGTCCAAAAGCATCTGTACAAAAATAACATCTTGAGCTTTCTTTGAGATGTAGGAGTGGACTTAAACTTGTATAAAATTGTAACCTCTTCTCCTAGATTCTCTTGTAATGAACTGAACAATGAACTGATATAGCGGTTGTTTGATTTTCTACAGCACTTTTCTTATTCGCCCTTTGCCAGGTCTTTGGTGACCTCAAGACCACCCACAGGCCAGGGACACACAAAGCCAGGGTATCTACAGTACAAAGAACATACTCCTGAAACTTCCCAAAACATATCAAAACATCTAAAACTATCCTCTTGGAGGAAATTTAATGGACTTTGGCCAAGTCATGAGATCAGACTTGGTTGGACTGCGCTTCAAGCCAACACTTGTACACTGCTCGGCAAAATTGAGCAGTATACTCGGCACTCAAAGACAAATGCCGGCCGCCTTGCCATCCACGGGTTCCGTCGGATTTGGTGATCTCTTGAGTATATTGGAGAGGAATAGACCGTTTGCTGTTGCGCTTCTCGAAACGTGCTTTGAAGCGTTGGCGACAAGACTTAGTCATGGTCCTTCTGATACAACCCAAGGTCCTCTCAGGCATTTGTCAGGGTGTATCCAAAAACATTCCAACACATACAGTAAGAACCAAAATATTTATATAACATGTGTGAAACATGTTCTATCAAAAGTGCATGGGTTGCAGTCCTGCAATTCGACAAGAGATGCGTTGGTTTCAGCATGTCAGAGTTAAAGAATGCCATCCAGGTTAATGTAATGGTCCTGTTCACAGCAAAAACAAAAATACTGGTTGTACAAAATCAAACAATATCATATAATATATTATATATAATATCATAAAATCATATAAAATCATATAAAATCTCAAACAAAATCCAAATCAACTGAAAACAATTGAAAACAATTGAAAACCATTTAACTTCGAGGAACAACTGTCCAAGGACCATGAGTTCCTGAAAATATGTTTGCTTGAAGGCAAAGGATTGAGCTGGCTGTTCCACGCAAATGAAAATATCGCGGGCAATGGCAAACTTGAGAATAATTGCCTCCAAAAGCTAAGATTTAACACGTCTTGTCCTACACAATTTAGTTCTTGATAGACTTGATAGTTCTTGAGTATTCAAACGGTCCCTACCAAACTCTACAAAATC